CCTGATTTAACTTAATACTGGATACCTGGGTATTAAACCTGATTTAACTTAATACTGGATACCTGGGTATTATACCTGATTTAACTTAATACTGGATACCTGGGTATTAAACCTGATTTAACTTAATACTGGATACCTGGGAATTAAACCTGATTTAACTTAATACTGCATACCTGGGTATTATACCTGATTTAACTTAATACTGGATACCTGGGTATTAAACCTGATTTAACTTAATACTGGATACCTGGGTATTAAACCTGATTTAACTTAATACTGCATACCTGGGTATTATACCTGATTTAACTTAATACTGGATACCTGGGTATTAAACCTGATTTAACTTAATACTGGATACCTGGGTATTAAACCTGATTTAACTTAATACTGGATACCTGGGAATTAAACCTGATTTAACTTAATACTGGATTCCTGGGTATTAAACCTGATTTAACTTAATACTAGATATCTGGGGATTAAACCTGATTTAACTTAATATTAGATACCTGGGGATTAAACCTAATTTAACTTAATACTGGATACCTGGGTATTAAACCTGATTTAATTTATTACTATATCTAATGTTTCTTTTTTTTCAAATATTTTTACAACACTTGTTAGCAAAACTGACTTATACGTTAAAGAGTGTTGTTCCATGTCACCTTTCTTGTATGTTGGCACGATGTGCTGCACCTTCCAATTCTCTGTCATTTTTCCCTGTTTGTAGCGAATCTCTAATATTATCTGTAGTGGATATCTCAGTTCCTCTGCACATTCCCTTAAGACCCATCCAGTCTTATTAAATTTTTGTCACTACCCAGTTATATTGTTTACTGCCACTTTAGTTATCTCAATATCCTTTAACTTTGGGTTATAAATCTTGCTCTTATGTATTTTTACATTTCAAAGTTCATTTCTTCCTCCATAACTTTGTATATTCATGTCTGTCTTGTTTATATCTCTGATTCGTCTCTGGACTGGTCCGCGTTTTATACTGGCTCAAAATTCTTTATTTTTCATTGCTTTCCAGCGTCTACTATTAATCAGTTCTTTCCTATTTCTTCTTTTATACATTATACATTATGTATATTTGTCTCTGGTAATATTACGTCCCATTCAGTTTCTCTAAAATCCTGCGTCCAAACATTGAAATTTCCGTTCTCGCAATCTAATCTTTTTTCTTTGTTTATTTTTCCCCCCCAAGTCCTCCTGTTTTTTCCTAACACATCCCCGAGCTTCCTGTCCACTCTGTCTCTTCTACACAATACAAACTCGTTTGTAATACAGTTTTCCAGTTCAGTTTTGGTTCGACAATATATCAACTTTCTTCTCATCTATAATGTCCCTCGGTTCTATTATTTTTGAAATTTCTTCAGCTATATTAATACATAATTTTTTTTACAGATGTTTGTCTCACTGTTTCCCTTTTTATGTCCATTTATTTTAGTTTGGTCACCATGTTGTGCTCGTTTCTTTAAAAAGCGTTTGACGGATTGGTGTGGTTCTGTCTGTCTGTCTGTCTGTCTCTTCCCCCCCTCAATCTCTCTCTCTCTCTCTCTCTCTCTCTCTCTCTCTCTCTCTCTCTCTCTCTCTCTCTCTCTCTCTCTCTCTCTCTCTCTCTCTGTAAAAAAAACCTTTCTTTCTCACTTCTGTCTCCATTTAACCTCTAATCAGTATTTCCAAAGACCTATATTTTTTACCTTGTCCTCTTTCGTATGGTCTTTTCTAATTGGTCTAATTGATTTATCCTTATAGTCTTCCCACATTTTGTCATTAGCTATCTTTAGGAATTTTTAGTTTTTTTTTAGTGGTCTTTTTTATATTTTCCCATATTCTTAGTGTCTACTATATCCTACTAAATGGTCTTAGATAGTGAAATTCTTAAAACATTTTGGCATTTCATTGATGTGATTCCCATTCTATTTATCTCTTTCTGATCCTGGTTTAATTTCTTTTTCGTTACAAACACATTAACAGTTTTTTCTGTGTCTACAGTTTCCCCAGTTTCCCCTCGTTCCTTTTATTTTAAAACTAATGTTGGCCTAGCAGAGTGTGTGTGTGTGTACTCATCTAATTGTGGTTGCATTGGTCGAGTCATAACTCATAGCCCCGCCTCATCACTGGTCTATACTAGTGTGTGTGTATTGGTGTAGTGAACAGGAACAAAGTCGTTCAAATAGGATACGAATATCGTAATGCCAACAATAGTGAACACAAGAGACAGACTGCAGAAAAAGTTGTTATTGGGGCAACATTTCGATTTGTGTAGAGCTTTGCCAAATCCTCATTTGATAAGCATTTGCCCAGAGCGAAACACAGTCCCAGTGAAATATTTTTCAGCAATATGTGGTTATTTTTCTTCAAGGTCATACGATTCTTCTAGCCATAGTTTCTGACCGGCGTCACGTACAGCTTCACTATCTTCACACGTCGAAGAATTCCTTTATAAAACCTCTGAGGCGCAGACTTGGTACACAGTACAATTTTCCGGTGGGGGCGGATGCTCCTCTTTGGAGAATGCTCACCTGTATGTCTAAACTTGGGCAGGTTGGCTGGTGGTGTATAGTTCCTGTTGGTGACGCCAGCCATTGTGAGACAGGATGATCATGGCTCAAGGTAGTCGCTCTTCGTCGCTCTTCGAGGAAGTCGTTTTCAAGCTCAGGTGCCGCAACTCGACTTGATGATCTCTGCTGTCGATCACGCAGCGTTGCCCCGCTCATTTTGTATTTACACAATATAATAAAATACGTTAATGCCGTATTTTTAAGTAAAGAAAAATGCCTAAGATATAAATTTAGCTGCATAATGCCCCCTTCAATATATGTTGCCCAGCCTGGAGCTATACAGTCGATAATTCATGGTTTATACACCGAGAGGTGTGTATCTTTTAAGGTATATACAGAGAGATGTGTATCTAAGTGTGTATATATATATATAGAAAGAAGGGTATATATTTCAATGCACATATACACTGAGAGACATATATCTCTCACTGTATATACTCAAGGGTACATATCTCTCTCTCAGTGTATATACACCTGGAAGCATTAATTGGATTCAGGTAAACTTAGTTTATTTACACTAAGAGATTACATGAATCCCTATGTTATGGATTAAAGTACTCACCACAGGTTGTATGTAGCATTACTGACCTTCATGCAGTCGATAGAACTGAAACCTTACAACGCAGTCAGGGTAATTCTTGGATATATATATATAATTTTGTGATGATTTGTATGAATATGGCTGAACTGAGAAGAACTGTTAGGGTGTGAGTTATGGGGAAGACTATTATTATACAGAGATTTCAAGGTTGATGTCCGTTACTGGAGGAGACGTGTGTGTGTGTGTGTGTGTGTGTGTGTGTGTGTGTGTGTGTGTGTGTGTGTGTTGTGTGTGTGTGTGTGTGTGTGTGTGTGTGTGTGTGTGAGTGTGTGTGTGTGTGTGCCGGAAGGGCGTGGACACAATTTACCACCCCTTGCTAGGCTGTATTTTAATGCTTTCGTGATCTTTCAACCTTGAGTTCAAGGTTACAGTAATTACCATCTCCGTCGATTTTATGATTGCATTGAATTAATGGGGGAGAGATATGACCAAGATAGAGAGAGAGAGAGAGTGAGAGAGAGAGAGAGAGAGAGAGAGAGAGAGAGAGAGAGAGAGAGAGAGAGAGAGAGATCTTATTTTCAATAGTTACATGGGGCGGGAATTTAAAAAAAAAAGCTGGTGACGCGCAGCAGAAGTATTGTAACTCCCGTGTTATGTTACATGTCGTGTTGATACTCTCCGCCTTCCTATATATTCTGCTCTGGCGATTCGATATACTCTGCAAACAAATTATGTTCATTTTTTGTTGTTAAATAGGCTATTTTAATAAATACACAAGTATTTTGCTCAGTACAAAGTTATTTTGTTAAATTTACAATTATATTGTTAAATGTACAATAATTTTGTTAAATACACGTTTTTTTGGGTAAATGCACAATAATTTTGTGAAATGCACAATTATTATCTTAAATACCTAACAACTTTCTGAAATACGTTATTATATTTTAAATGCATATCTTCTAAAATACTTCATTTCTTATACAAATGATTATTTTGATCAATACATAATTATTTTTTATATATATAATAATTCTGAAGATAATAATAGTCATTTTATGTGATAAACCTGTATGGATCATGCAGCGCTGTGGGTAGGGTTGTGTGGGTAGATGAGTGTAGAATAGGAGTGGGTATTGGGTAGGGGATAGTGGTAGTGGGGGGGACGACGTCAGCGTGTGTGTGAAACTGAAATCACAGTTACTGCAATAGGTCATTATCCGTTAAAAAAGTCAGAGAGAGAGAGAGAGAGAGAGAGAGAGAGAGAGAGAGAGAGAGGGAAATTCTATGCTAAATGTGGGGCCTTCAACGAGGTCAGTTCGTGTGTTACGTTGTAGTTGATGTTGGAAGAGAATCATGCACGTCCGCTGATAGATAGGAGGACAATTTGTTGAGATATGGTGACCCGACACTGCGATCCACCAGTCCTCGCAGAGTTGCCGGTCGTGTCTCCATGTGGTACAGCCGTGTGTGTCTGATTCGTAATCGTGAGAGTGCAGTGTCCCAAATCCGGCAGCAGTGGGAAGATGGTCAGATTCTGAAACATGGATCTTTCAAAAAAAAGTAGCATATTTTTTTATGGGAGTAGGTGTGCTGATGATATCGTTAATAGAATGATATTCAATGGGATCAAGTTAAATGAATAATTTGCATTATATCAGATATATATTTTGAAGATAGAGCTCTGAAAAATATTAAAATTAATCACTTAACTTGACCCCATTTAATAGCATTTTATTTATTGCAGATGTGATAATTAACTCTTCATGTAAAGGAGCGCTGCAGCAGGTATTAGCCCATGTTGGGCAAGTCAAACTCACACACACTCACCCACACCCACTTCTGTACTTGTCCGGTTTATTTTTTAAACCTAATAATGATGTTTGTTTCCCCCACAGTTGTCGAATGGGATGGTGAACATTGCCTTCAGCGGTGATGTTCCTTCCAAGACGTCGGTGGAGGAGAAGGCGAGGGAGAGCCAGGTGAAACAGGAGGACCTGGACGACCCTTGGGCCGTCACCGAGATGCAAGCTGATGATGGCGTCAAGTGGGCAGGTCAGTCAACGCTAAACTTTAGTTACTTTGTTGATGAAAGGAAATCTTTACTGGGTACGTTTGGTTCCTGGGACCTTGGCCACTCCAAATTATACAAAAGAATGAGAAAATAGAGGACCGTAACTTCTGGCCTTTCATCAATATTATCGGTATCAATTTGCATATTACCTTCAATTATTTTGTTAGCTTTGAAACCTTTCTACTGAAGATGAGTCATTAAGATCACAGTTCAGCTGTAAACTAACCAAATATACCGTAGCTCCTAAAACAGTATTAATTAAATTCTCAATGTGTATACACTGAGAGATAAACACCAGGTATTTCTTATGTGTTAGCCGCCAGTTGTGACAAACGCAGAGGAAGGTGTGCAGATGTTAGGAATTAATTCATGAAAAATGCAGCTCCTCTACCTGATATCCAGTTCCAGATCTCGCCCTCTCTTGTCTTCTTGTTTGGGGATTTATAGGGCCAGACTCGACTCTTACAGCCACTTACAGCTCACGCCGTATCGAGCCCTACGCCCTCTCTTATCATCACCCGACTTTCGTTTCCGCTGACCTCTCCACGACTTGACCTTACCATTTCACCACCTGAACTGACATCAGGATTGTTGTATACTTTGTGAAACAGTGTTTTTTTTCTGTCTACTTTATGTAGTGTCCCTGCTAAACGTGCCTTTAAAATTAAGAATACAACAATAATAATAATAATAATAATTCCCACGCTCAACCCTAGTGACTGAGAGAGGTTCAGAGTTCACCTGCGCTCACCTCACTTCTCTCCGGCTGACCTTAGAGAGTGGCTAAAGAGTGGACGAAAGGTCAGCTGTAATGTGGGATTTAGCTTGATGGTGGACGGAGGGCAGAGAGATTACAAGTGTGGGCCCTGCAACCTTTATTTAGACGTTTAGCTCAAGGAGACTTTTGTCAAGCACTGTGTTAAAACGACAGTGTTCCACTTAAGGGGAGCTCAGTGAAGTTAAATATCAAGACAACGTTTCCCTTAACGAGAGCTTTATCAAGCCATATATTGCGACAACGTTTCGCATAAGAAAAGCTTTATCGAGCCATGTATTAAGAAAATGTTTTGCTCAAGGAGAGCCTTATCAAATTATGATTTGATAATTCTCAGTATGAGGAAAACATTGTCTTAATAAGGTATTCTTTTGCTCGAGGTGTCTCTGAAGCGCCTGTCAATGTAAGACTAGCAAGAGTGATTCAGATGCTGAACGACGTATCGCCTCGAAATCTTAAATGTCGACATCCCTGAAACACAGTGTTTATGACTGCCCACGCATGCACACACACACACACACGCACACACACACACACACACACACACACACACACACACACACACACACACACACACACACACACACACACACACACACACACACACACATAAGGGTTTAATACACACACTAAGCGTGTACGTAAGTTCACATTTTTTAAACCAATCTACTGCGTCCAGATGTGTGTGGATTACTACTTCACTTAGCGTTGAATAACGACCCCATTATTCATTCCTTATTCCCGTTCATTTCGTAGCCCGGAGCTCTTTTGATACCCATAAAAAGCCTGTGCCACGGTCTGCCTTGTTTAGTTTAACCTATCCCTTTAAGGCTCCCCCACTGGCTAGGGGGCGCCATATCTGATCTCTGCCAAGCAAAGCAGAACGTATCATTGGCAGAGTGAATTAAAATGCAGTCAGGGTCAGGTGTGTGGTGCGTGCTGACGTGCCCACAACACGTGTGTGTGTACGCATGCACTGACCAGTAAGCGCACGTGTTCATGGTTGCAACACGCAACACACGCGTGTTCGCACGCAATGCTCAGCACACAGATGTGTTCACAGTTGCAACAGACAGCACACGCGTGTCTTTGCTTGCAATTCCCAGTACCCTGCAGCGGCTGGTTAAGTGGTCTCAAGACCACGAGGTCCATGCAGGGACTGAAAATGACCCAACGCCTCGACGTTCACGACATCAGCTAGATGACGCAACGCGTCAAATGTCAGCGTTTTGTGGGGTAGCGTTGACGGAGGGTAGAGTTTGAGCAAGTGTGCTGGTGTTGAAACTGACCCCAGAATCGTGGCGTTGAGAGAGAGAGAGAAAAAGACAGAGCCCTAGCCTAGTATTATCATTGGTTGGTACATAGCCTACTGATAGAAGGTACAAGGTGAATGGATATAAAATCATTATCCAGGCGTAGCCTAAGCCTCTGGCTAGCCCACCAGTCTGGTTGGTTAAGTTCGTTAATGGGGTCTAAAACTGTCGGCCACTCTTTCCATTCGTCACTGTTGTTAGTTATTTCACCTTCAATGGATATGAATTTAACTCTGCATCCTCAATCAACTCATTCCACGTTTTTAACATTGAGTCTAAGAAAATATTTGCTATCATTCAAAAGATTCATATGTGTTTTCTACTACAATCTTCATAGCCTTTTTTTCCAAAATTCCAACCAAAAACTTCTCCACAGTATTTTTTAACATTATAGATTCAAGGTGATTAAACGATACGATCAGTTAGTGATGGTGGTAATGGTGGTGATGGTGATGATGGTGGCAATAGTGATGGTGGTTGTGGGGATTATGATGGTGGAAATTCTGATAATGGTGAAAGTGACAATAGTTATAATAGTTAATAGTGATAGTAGTTATAACAGTGGACACAGTGGTGCGGTAAGTTTGCGGACCATCCACGTTTTTGTGGCAATAGTCGAGCAGCAGCACCATTCCCCTTGACCTTAATGTGTAGTAAAATGTTTGGAGAGAGATCAGTGTCCATCACAACCCTGCCTCCACACGCTGGTGTTGTATTTCTCAAAAGAGATGTGAAAATTCCCACTGATGCAGATGGGCACGGGGACAGTCAGGCTGCGACAGTAACACGTGTTTGGAAATTAACTGATGGAGAATCGATCCTCTACAAATCCTTTCGTTGAATAACGAACTCGGTTGGTTGATTAATGTGGCTAAACACCTCTCAACTGCACGAGGCTCATTGAGGCTGCATGTACTCTTGCTCTGCAACATCGACATATGCAACAAAAACAAGTTTTCTCATGTTTCTCAATACAGGATAATATTTTAAAATATAAATTATTAAAAGATCATTAAAATCAATAAGTTTAGACAATTTTAGTCTAAAATAATACTTTTTTGACGATAATTGAAATGATTTTCACTCCTTGAATTATAATAAAAAGGCGGAATATTTGTCAAATTTCATTTAACAAGAGAATTTTTGCCTATTATGGTGAGATAAATTAAGAAAAAATGTTCGTTTCGACACTCTCTTTGGTGCAGTGGTAACCTGTGAGCGCTGCCACCTACTTCCAAGAAGAGCTTTGATACCGGTAAAGAACTCTTGATTCAGGGAATTAGAGCTATCCTCTCCTTCTTAGGATCAAACCTGAACGCTTCCCAGTCCCCATGAAGATCATGGTAACCATGATGCAGGTCCAGGCGAGGTTTGTTTACATAAAACATTGTGTTCATGGAAGTGGAAAAAAAATCTCAGTAAACATAGGCGATACTGCCTGGATGGGGCGAGTTTTGATTATACTCGATGATGGGGGAGATAATGGTGGTTGTGGTGGTGGTAATGATGGGGAATGGAGGTGTTGGGGAGAGGTGTGGCTGGGTGTGGCAGTGTTGCACTTGCAGTGTTTCCTGTTGGCCCTCGGGTGCCAAGCTGTGTAATGTTGTTGGGCAACACTAGCCTTGCTACACCTCGCATCGTGTTGCGCCCATGTTGCTGAAGATACCCCTAGTACCCAGGTCCCGTGAAGGGTTCCACCAGTACCCAGGTCCCGTGAAGGATCCCACCAGTACCCAGGTCCCGTGAAGGGTTCCACCAACATCTAGGTCCTGTGAAAGGTTCCACCAGTACCCAGGTCCCGTGAAGCGGGACCTGGGTTCTTTCCCTGAACCCCACATTAGTGGCTCAGATTTTGAGGTTGATTGAACCCCAGCACTGAAATATCTGTGAGAGAAACACATCCCGTGGAACTGAATCAATATATTTATCTGTCAACCTTTCGGCATAATAAATAAAAATATTATTGAACGGTACCATAAATGAATAGATAAATAATTAAATTAATTCATTTAAAATAAATTTTCAGAAAAATTACGTAAAATAAAAGATGAATAATACACTTACAAATAAGTTCAAAGTATGAAAAATCGACACCATGCCTAACCCTTCTAGGGTAGGGTAGGTGCCTGAGCCTTTAGCTCACAAGACTGTCATTCCCATTTGTCCCCTTGGGGCGGGGATGGCAGACCAGAGAGGCCTAGCTTGTGGCTAGGCCTGGGGACAGTTGGTCCCAAAGATGAGGAGGTACTTGTGCCTCCTCCCATGGGAGACTTAGGTCTCAGACACTCCCTAAAGAGGGAGCCAAGGCCGGGCCACCACTTGGACAAGGCCCGGGCCGGGAGAATACCGGCTAATCTTTAACTAACTAACTAAAGTATGAAGAACTTATCAGAATAAAAACACAATTAAAAGGTTAAATGTATAAATTACGTAGAAGCTAATATTTAGATATATCTAAATATTCAATATTAGGGCACAGGATATAAATCACAGAAGTAGATATCTCTCAGTGGATATACAATGAGAGTTTAAATCCTTATTTTAAGGATTAAAGTATTTGTGAGTGGTGATGAATAGGCAACATACCACCTTAATCACCCCCCTTTAGTCTACAGGCGTTAAATGCATTCATCAGTCAACCTGCGCAATACTGGGCAATACAATACACTCTACCGAGTGTGAAACTCAGTATCAAAACGCAGTTCATTCGTTGATCTTTCATTGTACCTCAGCTCTAGCTCCTCGCATGGTGACAGGACACTCATCTGTTGGAGTGAGGGAAACAAGACCTCAGCATATTATTTTTATGTTCATATAAACCACTAAAACCGTAAGGGTCGTACAGCCTCTGAGAAACACCTGACTGCTAATGGCAAGCATGAATGACCTATTCGCTGGTATTGCAGTATAAAATATATATTTTAGGGATTATTTCAATATAGCACAAGAAACATGATTTGGGATGTCGTTTGAGTGCATTGCCCAAATTTCGATCCCTTTGTTTCAACCGGATACATCAGGGATTCGATGCTGTTTTATTAAGCTCAAAATCAGCGAGTAAACAGTACTTTGGCGAGTATAGAATAATCCTATTTAGCGAGTGTCCATCTGGTGGTCGTAAGAAGAGGCTCCTGATGTGAAACCATCTCTGCTAATTAATCAAAGCTGCCTGTGTACCCACTCTACCAGAAGCTTCATCCATCTTCCACTATGACAGCATCCAGCACAGAGTACCCATGGCTACTGTTTTTGCCGCAATCCTCGAGCGTAAAACTGAATGATCGGATGAGGATGGAATAAACAATGAGTATTTTGGATGCGCAAGATGCCATGTTCTTAGACAATGCCTGAAGACGATATTTATAACTCCTAGACCGCTAATGGAATCAGGTTACTCATCCAGATTGACATGAGGGAGTATAATCGTAAGAAACACAGCACTTCTAACTTCGTGTGATTTATTATTTTTTATTATCACACTGGCCGATTCCCACCAAGGCAGTGTGGCCCGAAAAAGAAAAACTTTCACCATCATTCACTCCATCAGTCTTGCCAGAAGGGTGCTTTACACTACAGTTTTTATTTTTAAACTGCAACATTAACACCCCTCCTTCAGAGTGCAGGCACTGTACTTCCCATCTCCAGGACTCAAGTCCGGCCTGCCGGTTTCCCTGAACCCCTTCATAAATGTTACTTTGTTCACACTCCAACAGCACGTCAAGTATTAAAAACCATTTGTCTCCATTCACTCCTATCAAACACGCTCATGCATGCCTGCTGGAAGTCCAAGCCCCTCGCACACAAAACCTTCTTTACCCCCTCCCTCCAATCTTTCCTAGGCCGACCCCTACCCCGCCTTCCTTCCACTATAGACTGATACACTCTTGAAGTCACTCTGTTTCGCTCCATTCTCTCTACATGTCCGAACCACCTCAACAACCCTTCCTCAGGCCTCTGGACAACAGTTTTGGTAATCCCGCACCTCCTCCTAACTTCGTGTGATGTGTTTAGAAAATTAGTGACTGGAGATTCTTCCAGAGTACTTGAAAGACTTAACGTATTCATGATTCTAAATTTGTTTACGGAGTCTTTTAGTGAGATCCTTTCGCAGTCTCATCGGTCTGTCCAGTTTCCCTAACAACTACAAACAGTCCCGTAGAAATAATCCCATAACGGATAATCATTCCTAGGTATTCGACTCCCAGGCCTTTAAAGCTTACGTATACCTTCCCATTGTTTCTCCTATCCTCGCCCCGACCTAATTTGGATAGCAAAGTCATGTCTGACTTAGAGTCGAGAAAACTGATGCAAGACAGGACGAAGTTAAAATCATGAACAGAAGCTTTACCAGATACCATCGTCCAGCATACAAAGAGTGTCCACTATTTCGGCCATTTGACAGCGAGGAGCGTCCTTACGGAGTCGCCATGTTTCCCTTGGATGGATGGCGAGCGAGCCTAGTGGCGTTACACATATCTTTTCCCCTGCTCAACTTGACCTAGTTATATATGCAACTCTGGGTGTTGGTACTGAAATCATCTTCGTGACCTTCACATCATCCCTCTCTCTCTCTCTCTCTCTCTCTCTCTCTCTCTCTCTCTAGTTTATTACGTTTAAAACCTATTGAGTTCGCCTGCGTCATTAAGGCTACATTTCACCAGAACATTGATCCCTTAATATGAGTCTGCCGGGTTCATACACTATACTGTCTTCACACAACATAAATAAACCACAGGAAAACACATATGAAGGTAAAGATGCAATTTGCAGAAGATTTCACAAGTACAGCGTTTCGCTCGTGCAAAACGTTGTCCCAACAAAAGCTTGTGCTCCAAAGTGAATATATCATCGTACTTGTCAGCCATTAGCCGTTTCAATCATCGATATACATGCTGTCACAACGATGCAGGCACACACACACACACACACACACACACACACACACACACACACACACACACACACACACACACACACACACACACACACACACACACACACACAACACACATCAATATATATATATATATATATATATATATATACACATATATATATATATATACAAAGAGACTGTACTATAATCCTTTTTTAAAGAGAATTAAGTAGTATTGTTGACTGGAAGTGTCAGGCTACGCACACCCGTAATGACTTTCGTTTAGTCAACATTCTGTAAATCTACTTCATTATTACCAGCTGACCGACACACATGATACTGAACAATTATAATGTAGTTAACTTACCTAACCTGTTTCTCCTTTGTCGACACAGCAGTTAACTTTTTTTGTTTTTACCTGCAGTTCATCAAGGTTATTTTCATAAGATAGAGTGACATGCGTGTATTGCAAGGTTGGGATGTTGCTCTTGGGTCTGCAATATCTTCCTCCGCCTCGTTCCCATGTTGTTCCTCCATCCTAACACTTAGTGAATGATAGGTCATTTGCATATTGTATGACAGTTCTTGCACATACTTTATTATAGGTAAACTCATTTATACTATAGGTAAACCCGTGTATACATAGGTAACCCTATGTATACTACATGTAACCCCATGTATATTATTGATAACCCCATGTACACTGTAGGTAACTCCATTTTCAACACATTACTTAATAAAAAATATTACTGAAAAAAAAACAAATCAGATTCAGTTAAAAAAGAACGAAAAAATAAAAGTATTAAATTATAATTGGCCTGATCCAACGCATGCACCACAGCCCGGCTGATCAGGAGCAGAATTGAGAAACTTACCAAAATTAAACCAGTTAAAAGTCAGAGCTCCACCTTAAAAGTATATACATAAGAGGTGTGTATCTTTCAGTTTATACATCAGAATTTAGTTTAATCCCTCTTTTAGGCGATATGCATTCTCCGATGCTTTTATACAGGAGATTTATGGTTTTAACGCTCGTACAGTAGATAGGTATTAACCCTAACGAGTTCTTCCTACCATTCCCTTCTTTTTTCAGAATGACTATCCAATCAATAGATGGCAGCAGTGTAGCAGCACTCAGCCTTTTAGTGCTGTATCAGTAACATTTATTGATCCCATGTTTCTATGCTAGTACATGTTTAAGCGATTGCTCTTTTATTGATAAAGTTTATTTTCACTTGCAGACTTGACGACGGGAGAGAAGGTGAAACGAGTGACGATCAACATCTCCAAGGTAGTGCTGGTGCTGTGTTTCCTCTACTTCTTCATCTGTTCCTTGGACTTTCTCTCCTCCTCCTTCAGACTCATCGCCGGCAAGACCACAGGTCAGCAAGTTTGCTACTCTTCTTATTAATCCTACATGTAGTCTGTGGTTTAACTTTACCGTGTTTCTAATATCTGTGATGTCCTCGTCGATAACGAAGCAGCATAAACAGGCACTTTATCCAGCGCACACTGAAACTCCTTTAAGGGTAGGTATCATCACGTATGGATTTTACTCTGGAGGAGAGACTACTGAAGGTAATGTATATAATTCTGCTAGACTTTAGGTGATCATATAAACTTCGTATCGGTGCAGTATCTGTTTACTGAGGCACATGTATGTTGATGCCAGGTATTTATAACCAGTCTGAATGTCGAGGTTGTTTATTTATGCTTTGAAAAATAGTTATTTTTGTGTGTGCTCCTAGATGAAATTCACGGCTGCATAATACTCACTGTTTTTTTAATTGTAATGTGTGTGCGTTTTTTAAAAACCAGCTAGAAAACAGTGATGACGAATGTGTTTCTCCGAGTCACCCTGCCTAGGTAGGTAAACACACACACACATGCTTAACAGTTCGCACACAGGCGAAATTATTTACATATAGAGTCTTGAGTGTTCCCTGAGTATGTTTATTCTCTTCTCTGAGGATGAGGGTTCCCATTTCATTTCTAGAGGTGGTACCTCCCTATAAATAAATAAACAATGCAAGACAAGCCTCGGGAGGTGTAAATCTTTAGCTCAAGTACTCTCACACTTCTCAGTGCGTCATCGGGAGCTAGGCGATGTTGCAAGAGAGCAACTAAAGCAAGGAGAGAGAGTTTTCTCAGAGTAGCGTAGTGCACATGTCACCGACCACGGTTACCACCCGCCCCCGTGGCTTGTATTGATATATTATATATATATATATAATATATATATATATATATATATATATATATATATATATATATATATATATATTTATAGGTGTGGTGTGTGTCTGTGTGTGTGTGTGTGTGGGATTGTGTGTAGGGTGTCGTGCCGAAGTATAGTAGAACTGGTCAAATTAGAAGAGCCGATGTTTAAAATTATGTCTTTCTAAATATTTCTACTTTGTTCATGAAAAAATATAATTTTTGTAACAAGAAGAACCTTAAAAATCTTCCTAACCTTATTATAAAAGTCATTTTAATTTTAGCCCTAATCCACTAAATATATTTTAGATATAGTATACAATAATTATATATAATAAAACATTAAATATATTTTTTCGCTATTTTTTAATGATTTTTCCGAAATTACTGGCATACACAAATTTCGCTTGACTTATTCGGCAAGAAGACAGTTTGCTATTTTTTTAGCAAAAAATCAGCAAGTTATACCTATATTATATATAATATATATAGAATTTATATTTAGCTAATATAATATATATTTAATATTTAAATAATATATATATAAATAATATATAATATATATTTGTGTCGTTTATTGGAGAAGCATTTTTGTGTTACAAATCCTGCATGATACACATCGCTGTAACAATTGCAAAATGTTCATGAAAAAATGAAGATTCTGACATAAATTGGCCGACACCATCCATCGTTTTGAGCAGACTACGAGAAGTAATTTCGGTATATATATATATTAATGATCGCTTGTGTTTTAATCGACATCTATAAGTGGTTCACACAGAAAGAACTGACTCTGTTTTAAGCTTTTATGTATTTAATGTTGATTAGGCTGGTGTTAGGAGTAGGTTAGGAGGAGCAATTTGTGCTACAACATTGCATGGGTGATCAGTAAACAATACTGTTCCCTGAAAATAATGTAGATTCTGACATTAAATGTGCCAGACACCTCCATCGTTTTGAGCAGACTACGAGAAGTAATTTCGGTATATATAGTATTAATGTCGCTGTGTTTTACCTCGGACGATCTTAAGTGGTTCACACAGAGAAGAACTGACTCTGTTTTAAGCTTTCTAGTATTTAATGTGATTAGCTGGTGTTAAGGAGTCAGGTAGCAGGGCAGGTGGCTGCGACCACCACCATTTACGGGTGCAGGCAGGGAACAAAGGCTGACCAGTGGCCTGCACCGGTCTACTTAGTGTATAGTTACCATGTTCATAATCTAAAGACTTTCTTCTAGATCTTTTATAAACTTGTGAGAGTTAACTAACCACAAAATGTGAATTAAAACTAGACGATGGTTCAGTTCATCCTATAACACTCAGATTATCAGTTTCAATGGTCAGTATTCATTTTTCATTTAGTATATATCAAGATTATAAAGGTAGAGTTTTTTCAATTAGTTTTTAGCCCGTCCGAGTGCAGAGTTTCCCCGGAGTCTCGTTGTTGGCTTCACAGAGCCAAAGTGAACATTATTATTAGCGTCGCTAAAAAAAAGCGCTAAACCATGTTGACCATTCATCGCTGACGGGAGCAAATGTTGTTCCATCATCCAAACAGATGACTGCTGCTACGTTATCTACATACCTAAGCTACATCGTCGCTGCCGGCAATGATCGTGCAAGGTTGCCAAGGTCACAGAACAACGACAAATGGACATGTATCTACCACATAGTCCTGAGATTTTTTTAAGATCTTGCCCTGAGGAGCGAGTTTATTGGGCAATATCACTCATCCTGTGAGGGACATACCCAGTGGCAACATCAACTCTGTTCTCAGCCCTTGCAACATTCTTGTGTTACTAGCTTTACAGTGCTAGAATTAGGATGTTAATGTCATTTCGATACAGAAACACACCCAGGTTAGCAGAGTTGAACATAAACTCATCCACATACAAGATTCTGATACTTTGCCGAGGTTTCGCCTGACAGACTTAAGTGAACATACTCAGCGAAGCTAGAGAAATGATAGTGGATAATAAGAACTTTCAGAAGCAAGAGAAATAACTCCAATGGCAACATTATGCAAATCAATTATGCTATCACATCTACAATACCCTTCGGTGTTGACTCCATTTAAGAGATATGAAAGATAAAAGTGTCCAGATATTGTTTACTGTCAATAAAGTCATTTAAGCAGACAAGAGATACATGCTAATATATACCAGGATACTTGAGGTTCTTGATATCTTATCTACATACATACTACCATGAAAACTTACTGAAATAAAAATAAAAGTGCCAAAGGCACAATAAAAGAACACTGTGTCAACATCTGTCCCCATGACTCTTCAAGTTACTAACCAGAAGATATCCAAAATGTTTCCGGGACAAGTGCAGAAATCTTCAGGAAGTAACTTGGCCACTACCTTCGCCAAGTGCCACCTCAACCAGGCTATGATGGTTATGTAAACTAGGGGGCCCGTCAGCAGCAATTTCCTGATTGTAAATGGTAAACGTTTCGCTACGAGATACTTCAGTCTTCATACAAAGCTAAAAACAGGGCGTTATATAGTGGACAGCGGTGTATGACCCTTGTAGGTTTAGCGCTTCTTTTTGATAATAATAATAAAAATAATATAATAGTGGACAGAGACAGATAAAAAGTAGTGAGGTGAGGTAGGCTGTACTAAATGACTCACATGATGGCAGATCATGTTGCCTAAAATTTTGGAAACACTGTACTCTCCAGATCTCCGTATGATCGGGTTTTAGTAATTAAGGCAGCTTCCAGCAACCTCAGCCTCTGTTGGTCGTTTTTAAAAATGACTAATCAAGACTCATTCCACTTCATCAAATGGTCACAATCGTGTCTGCGGTGATCACATGCGTACATGCATTGTTGCGGTCGACCTGGTTGCCAGCATATCTATATTCGCAAACTCTAATATCCAAGGATCTAGCAGTCACCCCCGAGTGTTTTTTGTCGCATCCCCAACGCTGCACAATGTATACTCCTGCTCTAGTCAAAAGTTCTCAATATGCTTCTGTATCAAGTTTTTGATGAAAAGAATTGGTGGTCAAAATAGTCATCAACATCCCCACTAAACGAGAATCTTACGACAGATTCTTATCAAGTGGTTTTCAATAGCCGTTTTGATGTTCCTTGTGGATATGGTGACAATATTTACCATTTTAACTGCCAGCACTGAAAGATGCTACACTTTATACCTCGCGCAAGAGCAGGACTCATTCACTTATTACACATTTTACGGCGTGTGATACACGCCTTTAATGTCCATTAGATTTGTCTGCATTTGATCTTATTTTTGTGTGAAAGTTCGTGGATCCAGACACTAACAACAATCCGTTTTTCAGTGATATAATTGCTTGTATCACTCGTGGGTACGTTCACCCAACCTTAAAAAAAACAGAAAAGTAAATTAGACTACACACATTGCTGCTGGGATAACAAGCCATTGTTGCCATCCTATGCTGTCACCCCCCTTCCAGCCTGTCAACTCCACCATCCCCGGAAGACTAGTACATGCGTGAGAGGTTCTGAGTCATGGTACTTGATGGTCTGTAGTCATCCTGCACCTAACACGGAAGAGAGACAGGGTGGACAAGGGTGGCAGACACAGGGTGGACACGGGTGGCAGACACAGGGTGGACACGGACAGCAGACACAAGGTGGACACGGGTGACAGACACAGGGTGGTCACGGGTGGCAGACACAGGGTGGACACGGACAGCAGACACAGAGAATACGGTCTTAATGACAAAAATAAAACACAAGTAAATAAAACACTATATAACGAGTCAAATGCATGCCGGAAACAAAGATACAACTGAAGATAGGAAGACAATAGCTTACGGTTATGAAGACGGGAGAGAGAGAGAGAGAGAGAGAAGGGAATATAAGGATGTCAGAGAATAGCATTAAAAGGAAGGATGTTGATAATTTGTCAGGGAAAAATGGGTTGACATGGGTCTTTAATCATGCAATGACCCGCTGATTGGCTCATTAAGACCCTATTAATAACTAGTTTAAATTGTTGTATTGTTGACTCAAGAGAGCGAGAGAAATGAGAGAAATTGAATCATTTTTTTATTTGATTCATTTCTGCATAAATTCCACATTCATAAGGCATATTAGCTCTGCAGCTCTGATAAATATCCAGAGTTATATCAAGCTATATATACAATTCAGGTCTTAGTCGAACAGT